TTTTTTAAATATTTACATGTCAAAAACATGAGAAAGCACACTTCCAGAAATGGCCGCATGAAATTCAGATGTTATATTTATTAGTAGCTAATTCCTATGTAGTATTTACTACAAACTAAGTATATTTTAAGTATACTCATTTAATCCTCGCAACAACCCTATAAAATACTATTGTCTCTTAATAAATGATGAAATAGACACACAGAGAAGCTAAGTGACTTGACCAAGGTCACACCATAGGCCAAGTGGCAGAGTCCAGATTCAAATCCAGGCAAGCACATTATAGTAACAGCTTTATAGCACACATTATTGATCCTGACAATAAGTTCCCACTGAGCTTACTGACTGAACAGCAACACGAACATCACAAGAGTCATATTAGATTTTAAATAATACTTACCAGTTTGACAAAAATAAGCTAAAGAGGCTTTTCCCGGTTGCAATGTACTGAAATATTTCTGAGGACTCAGTTCTGGCAAAGAGTCTACTGTTGACTTGTAAAAAATGCATGTTATGACAAAAGAAATCCCAACTCTAAATACATTGAAGCTGGAAGACATCACCGGCTGTAGTTGCATATGAGTGAGTGATTTTGTCTATTTTGTTCACTGCTATGTTCTGTTGTTGAGGACAATACTTGGCACAGAGTAGGTGTTCAACAAAGTTTTGCTGAATGGATTTACAAAATGAATGAACAAAGTGAAACCTACGAAAAGAAAAAGTCATTACTTACATTATTTGATTTTGCTAGTACTTTACTATTTCCTTGTAGTAAAAGTTTGAGTTGTTGTAATACTACTGATTTTTTTTGATTCTTACAAAGATATCAAAGATATCTAGAAAATACTTAACTAATTATTTTGAATTTCATAGATATTTACTGAAGTATGTTAAGCTAATTGTCATTTTTAAGGGTTCTAAAATTCTCAAACATTATCCAATCCATTTTTTAAATTGGGCCTTTTATCTTTCTCTGTCTATAGCTGATTTACAATAAATACTCAAATAGTTATACTTAATACCATTAATATGGGAGTGAGATGTCTAAAATATGTCCACTATGTTTACTTTCTTTGTACTTTAAATCCCCTAGAAGACACCTGTTAAAACTAAGAATATTCCCTCTAAATATATATACATTTGTAACATTTAAGCCTCAGATTTCTTTATACTGCTTAGAAATTTAAATATCTTCTTCAATTCATACTTTAATTCTATTTTCTGAACCCAGATTTTGTTCTAGATATCCTCCTCTCATCTTCTTCCCTGGTGTACTTACTTCCATGCTGTCCTCTGTATCCGCTGTCAATCTCT